CATTTTCAAAATAACGTCAATTTGTTTTATTTCAAATTAATGGACATTACGTTTCTATTCTCCATTATTTGTTTTAAAATAAACTTAAATAAAGTTTTTATTTTTTATTTTTAATAAACCTTCCATTTGTGTCGAGAAAAAAACTTACGAGTATTATGTTTCGCGTTTCGTATCATTTTTTTTTTCTTTTTTTTATCAACTAATGGATATTTTTCTTCAAATATTTTAGAAGAAAAAGAAAGTCACCTACACTTTTAATCATTTTAATCATAGGTTGTCTGACATATTCTGACTATCGTGGTAATTAATTTTATCGAGTAGTTTCTAATTAAATATTTTTCTATATTTCTCATGAAAGTCAACGAAGATATTCCGGTAAAAAAAATTACTTTCTATAATTACTGATAAAAAAAACTAAGTATAGAAACTATAGAAAAGTATTATAAACTTAAAAAAATATTTTAATTATAAGAATTTCTTAAAATCTAATTCAACGATAAATCGTTTGAAAATTAATCAGTAAATTCGTTTTTTATTGTAATCGACAAACGACTTCATACTTTTGTTCATTAGTGTACACACACACACACACACACACACACACACACACACATACACACATAATATACACGCCTATGTAAATATAAATGCATCGTTCATGACTCTATATATTCAGGTAGTACTTACTTACATACGACATACACTTCCTACAAGGTAGAACATGCAAGAAATTAGAGTGACTCTACTTCTTGTTGGATAACAAAGAAAAAAAGACAAAAAAAAAACAAGAAGGACTTAAGATGACACAAGGAAGTGTTAGTTGATACGATAATCTTCTATTTTCATAATTCAAAAGGAATATTCAATTAAACATGTGATCATAATCATCATCATTATTATAGTAGTCCTTGTCCAAAATAGATGGTGATCAATCAAATATTATTAACCATTAGGAACGATCATTCTCATCCATTAATGTTAAAAAATTGAGAAAGAGAAAGAGAGAAAATGATAGGAAGTCCTTGAACGATCGTAATACGAAGAAGGAAGGAATGAGAAGAATGGTCGATGAAGAAGGTCGATACACTCCTTTGCAAATGTATTTTTATCACGCCCACGAGTCGCGTTCATTGTTCTTAAGATCGTCCATCGTCGTTTACGGGATATCCTTTTGCTTGGTTTCATCGACGTTACATATACGTCTTTGATTGTGAATAGTATTTGATTCTCTTTATTTCTTTTTTTTCTCTCTCTCTCTCTTTCTCTTTCTTTCTTTCTCTTGGTTGGTTGCTTGCTTTCTCATTTTCTGTTCGATCGATAAAGTTATGAATTATGTTCGAGACGGTTGGAGAGAAGGATTTGTACACCAGCCGGCCTTGAGGAATAATAACGAAGAAAGGAAGGAAGAATAAGGAAGGAAGGAAGGAAGAAAGAGGGGGAGGGGGCAAAAAGGGAAAATGTCTACAAAGAGAAAGAGAAAGACAAGGAGACGGTAGACTCGTGAAGCAAGTCATTTTACCCTCCCCCTCGTTGCGCTGAGATTTCTACCTTAGCACGAGGAATCGAGTGCTGGTCTAACGGATCGATGCCCATATCATATACACTTATTGTTAGAATCGGACGATAAACAATTCTACTAGGAACGAATCTTATTCATTTATCCATATGGATAATACGCAAAGTTTGACTTATTTGTCCCCTTGGGTCAATGCTCTCAAAAAAAGATGATTAGACCTTACGATATTCATAATAAAATTCACTATTGAAAAATATTTTTCTTATTATCTTAACTACTCGAGATAAACTTCTCTTAAAAAAAAAAAAAAAAAAAAAAAAAAAAACATCGATGGACGTTTATAAAGATCATACTCTAAAACGATATAAAACATATTTTTGTTCTAATTCCAAAAGAAAGAAAGAAAGAAAAGAAGGGAAAATATAATACGAACAATTTCTTTAACGATACGTTAGATAGAAAGATCGTTTTGCAATTTATCTATCAATTCCGATCGTTTGCTACAATCATATTACGATATAAATAAAAAAGAGAAAAATGTCTTTTTTCTCGATACAAAAGACAGAAAATTATTTGATAATACGGTTTATACTTTTATACTTTTACTTCATCTTCCAATTCTTATATATTCTCTATCTAATTTATCCAGCCGATCTGGCTCATTAGTAGTGGTATTGTAAAATTATAGGAGGGACACACCGATAGCTACGAAAATACCGATACTCCGTCGTTCTAGCGAGGACGCTTTTTGCAGCGAGGAGGATCGATCGAGGTAGCGTTGCTCCGCACGTGCGCAGATCACATTCTCTCGCATGCTGAGGCCACCACGTCACTCCTCGCCGAGGTGAGCCGAGAACCCAAACCCATTCCTCCATATCGCACAAATCCACCCACGCTCTTTTTCCCTACTACACGTGTACTCTCAATACACGTACATTGATTCCTTCCAAAAGAATGACTGTATAAGAGAAACCAACAGAGAGAGAGAGAGAGAGAGAGAGAAATAATATGAACGTATGAGTTAGAAAGCAAGAGAGAGAGAATGGGTGTATGCGTTAAAGAGAAAGTGAGAGATAATGAGTGTATGAGTTAAAAGGAGAGAGATAGAGAAAGAATTTCCCTTCTCGCCTGTTACTTCCCTCCCTTTCGCACAGCCCATTGAAAGAAGTGAAACAAATCTCGGCGTATACGAGGGGTTGATATTTCACGAGAAGGTTATACCCCCACGTGACCATTCCGCACACGTGCTTCATACTCGACGTATACAAGTTTTCTAAGCCAACTCAACATTTTTTCACATCTCCAAATATATTAGCTCGCTCGTGAAGAATATTCGAAATTATTGCTATCATTTCATTGGTCATTAAAACGCGTTCATTATGTTCTATTTTATTGCTTACATTAGAGATATTGTTATTGGAAAATTGAATGTTTTTTTTTCTAAGAGGGATGTGTGTATATTTATAGATAGAGCGCAAAATAATTGGTCGAAATATTAGCGATTTTAATGGTTTGAAAATAGCTCGGTGAGAGAGACCGGTAAGAGCACCCTTTCCATGGATATATATAGACATCGATCCACCAAGGTTTCGTAATATAGGCACCTTCCTCGAGCAAAAACAACCAGAGGGAAAAAGAGAATGAAAGAGAGACAGAATGAGAAAGAGATTGAGAGAGATAGATAGGGAAGGTGGGGGGTAAATTTCTGAAAAGCATGAACCGTACCTACTTACTACAGTGTCTCGAACGACGATAGTTCTCTCTCTCTCTCTCTCTCTCTCTCTCTCTCTCTCTTTTGAACAGTTTGCCAGATTTGTTAAACGAATGAATTGAACTTAAAACAGATAAGATCTATCTTATTCATTATTTCTAGTTAGAAAGATGAAATTGAAGTTTCTATGAGAGTATTTCTTCCTACGAGATAATATTCACATTCATAATGGTTGCCTTTATGCCGATTCTAAAAAGATTCAAGTAAATGCTTCTTCTAAGCAATACATAGTCACTACTACATTTATCTACCTTATTTTTCTTTTCTTTTTTTCTTTATTTTTTCTCTCTTTCTTTTTTCCTATTCGCTTAGGAACACACACAGACCCTTCCTTCCCCCCTCCCCTCCCCTCATCTACCACCGTCACTACTGTATATGACAGACTAGTTTTCTCGGAGTATCTTCGATCGGAGAATTCATATTTCATAAGAGTTAGTACCCTTTCTACCAAAGCTACGAAGGAGACAACTACTACGACCTACCACTATGTGACTACTACGGTTGTGTGTCCGTCTAAGAAACTTCGTTATCTATATTTCAAATCATACCGAGTAAATGCATGTAGATTATTACGCGATGGGTGCACGCTGTAAAATGGACGGACAGATGCGGTTCGACGGGATTCGATCTTCCCTTATTTTTATTTTTTTTATTTTTTTATACAAAGTCCTTTTTTCCAAAGAAAGGAAAAAATAAAGAAAGAGAGAGAGAGAGAGAGAGAGAGTATTATTATTTCTACATAAATCATTTTCTCTTGATTGATTATAGACCAACTTTCTCTCTTTATCGATCGGAAACTTTTTCCTCCTGTTTAAAGTAAAACTGAAATAAAATAGAGGGGAAAATAAAAAAATAAAAATAAGCGTGAATTTTAAAAGAAACGTTTCCTAAGCAAGCGATACGTTAAAATACGATTTGCGATATCGTTCGCGTTTCATGTGTGGAAGTGAGTTAGAGATTTCGATAAGAATTTCTGGTGTTCTCAAACAACGACATTTTTAGATCGCAACAAGTCAAATATCTGCTACCAATACTACTACTACTATTACTATTATACCACTACTACCAACTTTGAAAGATTTATAACGGGTATCCTAAGAATTAGTGTCACGTACTTACGTTTCAGATCGTATACGGATGACCCGCATAGATAGCGGACGTCCCACAAACTATGAATGCGGCTAGGCTGTATGAAGAACCGCTTACAATTTCGCTCTCTCTCTCTCTCTCCCTCTCTCTCTCTCTTTTCTTCTCTCTTTCTCTTTTTCTCTCGTATATTGCCACTGAAATGTGCAGAAAAGTAGAATTCAAAAGAAAAGAAAAAAATAAAAGGAAAAAGAAATCTAGGTAGTTTGTAATAAAGGCAAAGTATATAAATGTATGCGTATACACACGTATGATTTATGTATCCTTGATGTAAATTCTCTTATGAACAACTAGAAAATGTAATAAGACCCGAACGATTTAATGAAACGTTCCTTTGATCTCGTCAAATTACAAGGATGTTAATAATTAAGTCATATTCTTATAATTCATTGGACTTTGTAGTATCAAATATAAAGAGAAAGGGAAGAAAAAAAAATATGATGCAGCCTTGAGTCCAGTTATTGCATGGAACGCCTACCGTGCATACAAATACATGTGTAGGATTAAACATTAATGTTTAACGACTAACAGAGCACATTACTTTACGATCCTGTTTTTCATTTTCAGTCAGAAGAGGCAATTACAACAACAGCAACAAATTCAGCAGCAACATCAACAGCATCAGTATCAGCATCAGTTTCCACATCCACATCAGCATCAAAATTCACATCAGCATCAAAATCAACAACAACAGCATCAACATCAACAACATCAACATGCATCGTGGCATAGAACTACTTTAGCGTCCTGACCGTTACGACCATAACCTTGACCAATGGTCGTCTTTAACCAATAGCATTCATCTTAATGCATAAAAGAGATAGGAAAATAAAAACTTTTCGCTATGTTGCTCGACTAGGAGAAGAGAAAAAAAAATTTTAACGATTTTCAACTCTAACCTAAAGCGTTAGAAACGATAGGAAAACATTGGCGTATAGGAACGATTATGTATTTATAAGAGTACTGATTATTTTAATGCAACGTCCAAACGTAGCTAAATCGATCAATAATGATTGATCAACGATCTTTGACATTGTTATTCTCAGCAGTTAATTTCTTCTTATTTTTATTTTCTTTTCTTTTTTTTTTTCTTTCCTATTATTCGTTGGGACGACAGTGCAATAATATATATGCCGTGATCATTCAAAATATTTTTGTTATATTTCAAATATTTCCTCGTTACCGTTCGTTTGTTCTTTTTTGATCTAATTTTATTCGTCGTTATGATAAAAGATATTAAATATCATTTTTTCATATAAGACATATTTCATTGATTAATTAATAGTTTCAGGAATCTATGCAATAGATTCTTTCGTTACGTTCAAATAATTTACATATCGTCCTCGTTAGATTTGTTAGAGATCTGTATTTTTTTTTATATCATGTAATACGTTTACCTAAAGATTATAAAGATCGCGTATCATTTAAACGTGCAATAAATTTTCTCTCTATTATTTTCATCCCATAAATCGTCAGGGCGATAACGAAATATATCAGATTTTGATTTAATTATTATTATAATTTGCGAAAGTTGATCAAAAAACTACGAGTAAGAACGAGTCGAGTTTGCAGAATGATAAAAATAAAAAATAAAATCGATTAATAGTATAAATATTAAAATTAGTGAAAACAATTTATTAAGAGTGCGCGCCAAGTCATTGAAATAGAACGAATTAACAGTATTGAAATATTCGACAATAATTTGATTATTTAAAATCAAATATTACCATGCGAGGGTGTTCAAGCCAAAAGTGTATGTGCCTGTCGTAGTTTCATATATTTAAATCGCTGTAAATTCGACTCCGATTAATTTTCTCTAAATTAAAAATGATCCAAAACAAGAAAACAAAAAAGAAACAAAAGAGAGAGAAATATTTTATAACCTGCGTATGTTGTATATCTTATTTTTAAAAACTTATGTTATCTTAAAATAATATTTTCTAGAACACTCACATAAAAGATTTATATATCCGTCTGTATATTTCTAAAGACAAAAAAAAAATGGAAACAGAAAAAAACGAAAAAGAAGAAATCGTTAAAAAAAAAAAAACAAAGAAATACAAAATACACGCTCATACGTTTAAACGCGTTAGATGCGTTTGCGTCATCCGATTATAAACGCTAAATTGCACGACATTAAATAATCGAAAAATTTGAAAACGTTTCATTTGTTTGATATAAGTATATATATGCGTATAAAAAAAAATGGGAATAGGAAAACGTAAAAAAATGTTGATTGTAAGCGTCCTATGACGAGGCTAGGTGCTATTCGATAGATTTAAAAAAAAAAAAAAAACGAATCCACACAAAAAGATAAGACAAAAGTGAAGTGAAAAGACAAGCGGATGAAGCATTAATTAAAAAATCGTGTAGATAGTTTGTTTAGGTAGGTAAAATATTTTATACGATGTAACACACACATACACACAGATACAAGAAAGAAACAAGCAGCATCATGTACACACATGTACGTATTATCATTATCTAGAAAATGATAGAACGAAGTCGCACGGATACGCACGATGCGCACGACTAAATCGTGATTGATAGAAATCATATTTACGTATCCGTATGTCCGATCGATTAACATAAAGCATAGAAACACGTGGCGTTATTATTATAATATATAGGGTGAGATAAAAGTCACTTTGCTCAGAAATTCGTTTATACAAGTAATTTGTTCGTGCAATGATGTATGAGGTTATAGCTGTACAAACGGCTAATATGTTAGCATACCTTTTTATGCTGTTACTATGACAACGGAATTGTTGTTAAATGTTTTTGCACAGGTATCACAAGATTTAGATAAGTTATAAAATAGTTGATAGAACGAAGTCACTCCAGAACTTACTATTAGGCGCCAACCCTAAGTTGAGTTTCGCCACATATATAATTAAATCAGTAATTAAACAATATGAGTTGTGTATTCAGTATACAAAAAACACCAATTTGAACAATTAATATGAACAAATGCGGAGAAATTAATACATAAAAATACGCAAATAAATAATAGATTGTTTAGAGTTTTATTTTGAGAAAAACGACTTTTATCTCATCTTTTATATACGCGCGTTCAAATACAAACAAATAGACAAACAAAAAAAAAAGGAAGAAAGAAAATCATAAAAAAATAGATAAAACATTGAATGTCTGTGTCCATTAGCCTGCAGGTAACAGGTTGCCCTCGTATATGGCATGAATGAAATTAATGCAGATGCAGCGATATGTATCCTAGACTAACACAATCCTTTAATCATATACATAAATACATCTTATTATCATATTACTGATATAGAATGCAGGAATATTTAAGTAGAAATTTCAATCATTTTCTTTTCTTATTCTTCATTTTTTATTTATTATTTTTTTTATTCCGTTTCTTTCAACTTCCTTCTCACGTAAGATTAATAGTAATTCATGTCATGGCTTCAAGTTAACTGCAATTTTGGACAAAAACTAATAATTATTAATATTATTATTATTATCATCATCCCATTTTTACTACCACGTAAACCATAAAATTTGACGTGGGATGTATAGATTTGTACTTGTTTGTTTAATTTATTTGTTAGGTAGCTGAAACATAATAAATGTTCACGAATCACGATGATGATAATGATTTGTGAATAGAAAAAGAAGCAAAAGAAATAAAAGAAAAGAAGAAAAAAAGAAGAAAGAATAAGAAAGAGAAAGAAAACTTTTAGATCAATCTTGACTGTTTAGCCTTTAGATTCTATTAGCGACGTAAGAATGATTAAAACATTATTTTGTTGATATATATATATATATTATAAACGATATTATTATTATTGATTATGAATCATGAATAATCTGTAAATATATGAGACCAATGCAGTTTCTAGCTTTTTACATGACCTTGATCGGATAGTACTCCGTATGTCCTCAACATTCCCCGAAGCCGATCTAAACAGCCTTGATGAGAAACAGGTATATAAATAACTACGTTATAATTCCATTTAATCGAGGGAAGAAAAAATGAAAAAAATTATTTTTATACAGTAGAACAAGATTAAAAAAATGTCAATGAATAAATTAAAAGTAAGTATATTCTCAACGACGCTTACTACCTTACTTTTAACACACAAAACATCACTTAGAATTCCGTCGGTCAACAATGGGCAACATTCTTTCGCTTTTTTACGTCTGACAGATCGTTCAACAAAACGTGTTAACAATTTCTAATTAACACGTTTCTAATGTTACATGTTTAAAAAAAATGAGACACAGAGAGAAAAGAAAGATCAGGCATCACTTGCAATGTAAATTTCGTATTTTCAAATAATTGCGCGTTAGTGGCGCCATCTGTCAATGCTCGCGATTGGTTCTATGAAAAATTCCGCGAAGCTACCGAACGATATATAAAATATTACACACTCCGCATTGCGTCAAGAAAACTGTAAAAGAGAAGAGACGTTTAAAATAAAGAAGAAACGTTTCGTTTAAATAATCTACGATTCAAAAACTAAAACGACGATTGACGAATATTTAAACTAAAAGAGGACTGCGTAAAAGGCGTTTTCAATGAAACGGAGAGAAATTCTAAGGTAAACTTTCTAGTGTAGGGTTTATGCTTTTCGAGAAGACTAGGGGTCACTAGCCTCTTTCGCGCAGTAAGAGAAAGAAAGAAAGAGAAAGAAAGATCGCGGGTTCCTTTTTTTCAGTCGGTACGTTGACGTACTTATAACTTACTTATTTCTTTATACAATCGTGGCGTGTGACATTGACTCTGTCAGTCAGTCAGTCAGTAAGTCAGTCAGCCAGTCAATTAGGCAATCTGTCAGACAATCAGTTGTTCGTTATTCCTCTCGACTATTGTTATTAGATTATTCGTGTTTTTTACAATTAAATAATACTCGTGATATTGATACTTTGACGTTTAATATTTAACCGTGTCTAATCGTGATTATTACAATTATTATATCATGTATTGATGAAAAGTTCAAATATCAGCTCAATTGTGATTGACATCTGAAATCTAATCGCGATTTAAATGTCAAATGTTTTTTAACATTTATTTTTCCGTATAAAATATTTTTTAACCCTTTTCATGTAATCTACATTTTCCTTCTTACCTCCCCTCACCCCCTTCCACCCACCCACTCACCTATCATCTCCTCCTTTTCTCCCCAACCTTCTCTTCTATTCCTTTACTCCGTTCTCTTTGACATTCTCTCTATCTTCGTCTCATTCAGAGAGACCAGTTTCATTGTTGTGTGTTACTTTGATTGAATTATCTTTCTTTCTCCGCTCTCTCACTCTCTCTCTCTCTCTCTCTCTCTCTTTCTTTCATAAGCAAACTCTATTTTCTGTCTCTTTCACTCTGACCATCTCTTTCTTTTTTCTCTCCTTCTCTATCTCTTTCTCTCTCTCTCTTTCTTTCTGTCTCTTTCCTTCTCTCAGGAAGATAAGCTTAAAAAGTGAGGTTATGTATATACGAGAGGTTCAGTAACGTCGTAGCGCGGTGATTTTCTTAACCGGCAAGAGAGAGAAATAAATGACGCAGATCTTTAATAAGTGTGCGCGAAGGATGGTGAAAATGAAGAGGATATAATCCGTTAGCGTAAATAATAAGAAAGAAAAGGAAATTTAGTTGCGATTGTAATAATTATTACGTGCCATTAATATCGGAGTCTAACTATCTAACCTTTTGATGAAGTCGATAACTCGTTGAAAAGAGAGAGAAAGAGAGAGAGAGAGAGAGAGAGAGAGAAAGACAATATGCTGTGGGATACATGAAGAAGCCCATGGAATCTTGCATGTAAGTTTCTATAATGGAGTCGTAATTGCGTTTATTTGAACTATGTTTTTTTGTGTCAAAGTATCGTTCACATATAATTCTTGGCTTTTGAACGATGACATTGATTTAGAAAAATATCGAAGATTCTTCTTATTTTGTTAAAAGCTTTTTTTAAATCATCTTTATTGATCATTCAATGCAAGCTTTGTTTTATTAAAATCTTGTAAACGTTGACCATTGTATCATTGATATTTTATCGAATAAGTATGTATGTGCATGAACGAAATATTCTTCCTAATTCAGTTGAAAAAATTATTAGGTTACTAATTTTTTTTTCTTAGGAGAGAGAAGGGGATTTATTATA